AGAGGAAAACATGTTAAGGTTGTCTCAGAAACACTATATTGGTCTTCTGCCTGAACAAACAAGGCAATCCATGGTCTGCATCCTTAACCTGTCTCACGCTGCAGATCCAGGACTCGTGCCATTATCATTGTAGCCATCCATTTGGCCAGAACCGGCAACATCACAGCAGACGCCCTGAACAGAAGGCTCAAGGAGACTCACAAATGGGAGCTAAATCCAGACATCCTGAAGCAGCTCTTCAAGACTTGGAGAACCCCATCTGTGGACCTTTTCACCTTGTTGAAAAGCACAGCATACAAGGTCCTGTGCTCTCATGCTGGCAACAGTCAGGGTTCGTTGAAAAACACATTCTTTCTCTGATGGGAAGAAATGTTCTACCTGTTCCCACCATTCCTGCAAGTCATCAGAGTGCTAGCGAAGATCTGGAGAGAGAACACCTCCTGCATCCTTGTGACCCTGTGGTGCCCAGAGAGGCGTGGTTTGCCCACCTTCTGAGCCTGTCAAATTGTCCTTTCATCTGCTTTCCAGTGAGACTAGATATCATCTTTCAGGACCAAGAGATAATCCTGCACCCAGGTGACAGGGCCATCCATCTGATGGCATGGAGAATTGGCCAGTAGATCAGGAGACTCCTCTTGGTCCCAAGAGACAGTTGATCCTGGATATGGCACCACAGCTGAACCTGAGGCACTCCCACAAGGCCAAATGGAATGCCTTCACAGCTCTTGCCCAGAAAGAAGCATTCAAACTCTCCATGGCATCTGTCCAGCAGATACTCAACTTCCTGCACATGCTTCACATCAGAAGATTAAAATTGTCCTCTGTCAGAGTCTAGTGGTGATTTCTGCCTTCTGCAAGATGGTTAAAGGATTCTCAGTTTTCTCTCATCCTTTGTCCCATTGGTTCCTCAGAGGTCTGCACAACCTGGTCCCACCCATCTGTTCTGTCATGCTGGGTTGGAACCTGTCAGTGATCCTGCAGGCCCTTATGAAACCTCCATTCAAGCCCTTGGCCCCTGAGGATTTACACCTTCTCTTCTAGAAGATAGCATTTTTGTTGGCAGTTACTGCAAACAGAAGGGCAAGCAAACTGTGCTCATTCACATTGACCACCACTCCTTACCTTCCATAAAGACAATGCAGTTCTCCAACCCAACCAAATGTTCTTGCCCAAGGTTGCATTGGAGTTCTGTCTAAATCAGAACATTGTACTACTGGCATTCTTCCCAACACTGTCCACCCCAGTGGAATCAGTGTTCTGTGCTCCCAGTGCCCTAAAGGCACAGGCATTGTATCACTCACATAGCAAGTCCTTCTGCTGGTCCCAGAGGCTCCTTGTGGAATATGGTGAATGATCCAAAGGTGAACCCATCAGTGTCCAGCAACTTGCTCACTGGATCATTGTGACCATTAAACAGGCTTATCAACTGGCTGGACTGTTGATAGGCCTTCTCAAACAGCCAAGGGCGCATTCTACCAGCACAAGTACAACATCTACAGTGGTCATGCTGGCATTTCACTGCAGGACCTCTGCAGAGCAGCGATGTGGTCCAGTCTGTCAACTTTTGTCCATCCCTGCTGACTTGATGTTTGCACCAGCCAAGATTGCTCTTTTGGCCAAGCAGTCTTCCACTGATGACACTGTCCCTTCTCTGTTTCGAGGTAAGCTTGCTAGTCATCCATACATATGATGCACAGACACCAAGAAGAAGAAAGTAAGGTTGTTTACCTGTAACTGACATTCTTCAACTGGTCATCTGTGCAACAACTGCACTCACCAGCCCTGCTGTTTTTAGTTTCTGAATCTTCTTCTTTTCAGACCTGTACAGGACCATTACCAGCTCTTCCTCAATTCTGAGGCCAAAACGTTAGTACCATGGGAACTGGGAAAACAGCAAAAGCCCTGCCTTTATATACAGGAAAGAGGGAAGGGAGGGGCTTCCACCAAAATGAACTTAGCTAGGAAAATCTTTCCAACAAAAGGCCCTGTGCAGGCACAGAGCCCGTATGTATGAATGTACAGATACTACTCAAAGAACATCAATTACAGGTTTACAGGTAAGCATCCTTTATTCTCGGAGGCTGCTGGAGCACCTGAGGAGTCTGGCCTTGAAATGATTGCCTCCATTTTTCTCATCACAGTCAGGAATTGACTCACATTCCAAGTTGCCCCCACCCCATTCCACCCACTCCACTGCTTCTCCTGATCAGCATGCTTTGGGAATGTGCACCAAGAGGAACTGCCTTTCTTAATTCCAACACCTATGACTCCTAGAAAGCATCTAGAGGGCCATAGGGTTTTTCAGACTCCCAGATCTAGAGTTGAAAACAGTTATGCGCACAGATCCCTCTCCCTGCCTGCCCCTGCAACTAGTATGGACTTGAACCACATCTACCATTTTTCCAAATTCATGAGAATGATCTTGGAGAAGGTGTTTTGAGGACAGGGAAGAGAAGAGATCAGCACTTACAACATATAACACATTCTGGCAGTGTCTCAGCTTCTTTCACTCCCCCTCTGAAATCAGTTTTCTAGCTGCTTTGCAAGGTGGGAATTGTATAGAGGTGACCTTTGCTTCTGTGCTTTTCTGGCTCTGCCTAGGAAGCCTATAATCCTTCAAGTTGAGAGGGCTTTGAGCATCCCCATTGGATTGTACCCTGAAACACTTTATAATGCAGCTAAACAAGCATGTGTTCCTCTGAACAAATTCTATTCTGAGCAATGTTGGCGACATACAGGTATGTGAGGGGATGTCACATGGAGATGGGTAGAGACCTGTTCTCCCCTGCAGAGGAAAGCAGAACGTGCTCCAACGGAGCAAAGCTCAGGGAGCCAAGGTTCCATTTGGATGCCAGGAAGCACTTCCTGACAGTCAGGACCCCGAGGGTGTGGAATGGGCTTCCATGAGAGGTCGTTGAGGCCCCGTCGGTGCAGGTGTTCAAGGATAGGCTGAACATCCACATGGTGGGCATGTTGTGAGCGGAGCCGGCTGGTGCCGGAGGTCAGACTAGATGGCCCGGGAGGCCCCTTCTGACTCGCTATGTTTCTAATGCAAGGACGAAATTTGTGTGTGTGTGTGTGTCTTTAGACATTGCTATAGATGACCTTTCTATGGAAAAGCAGTGTTATTTTAGCATTATTGGGCAATAGATCAATATTTTCTTCTATGCTTGTCCTTTTTGTGTGTCTCATTTGGAAGCAACAGATCAGAAGGAAAATTCAATTGATACAGCTGTTACATTGAGTTTATTAACATGCTTCTGTGCTACAAAGAAAAGTATTGTTAGTGTATTAAAGTTCTTACAGTTGCATTATGAGATTTTTACAACGTACTTTCTTGCTTATGCTGATAAAACTGATGAAAAGTAAGATACAAAAGAGTGCTGGATTAGTGAATATAAATCTGAAACAATATTGTAGAGGAACTGGTAAATGGATGTAGGATTTTTTGCAATGTTTTTATTCATAGGCTTGCCATAAGTCAGAGGTGACTTGATGGCACATAACAATGCATAACAAAGCTCTTTTCTGAATTTGCTTTGGTAAGGAAGCAGTCATCTCAGTCTAGCTTACTAATTGTTATAGGCAACTGATCTTTATGTTAAATTGTGCTGACAAGTGTCTTACTTTTGCATGGTCTTTTCACTTCTATGAAAAATCTGTTAAAGGGCCATATAAGCATGATCATCCACCCCCATGCTCCCTGTATTCCATATCTCCTTTTTGTCACCTCCCTTTTGCCCTGCTTGCCTCAAGACAAGGGACAAAAACTTTTTTGTTTGTTTGTTTAGCTGTGCATTGGGAAACTAAGGTTTTGTTCTTAATGCAACAAAGAATCCCATGACCATCTGCATTTCTATTGATGAGAACATGTATATTTGCAGATTGATTAAATAGATGTGCTATTATGTGGTTATGAAGAAAAACTGAGACCTAAAAATAGAACAGGGGTATCTCTTTGATAATGCAGAGCAAAAGAGATGAGAGATATCTGTTTCCTGTGTAAAGACTGTATTGCTATGAATTGCAGCAGTGAAAGGCGAACTATGTTATTTTCTGTGCAAATGTGTATAATGGAGCCCTGATTATTACTACTGCTACTTTTTAAAATGATATTGTAGCTTTGGGAATCTGCAATTTTGAGCTAGTGAGCAGTGGTGCCTTACCCATTATTCACATTCTCAAAGCCACCCTATCCAGCTTTTAAAAATTATGCCTGTGGGAAAGAAGTTGTTGTCAAAATTCTAAATGAAAAGACAGCTAGTAGGGAAAAGATTAGGCACCTCTCTTCTCTGGCTTCTCTGCCCAAAGTCACAGCTTCTTAAGGCTACGCATTTTTAGAAAATACTGTGTACATTTGTGTGTAACATGTAGTGGTCTCATAGTTATCCTTAGATGATAAAGCTTGCTGACATTACATGGCTTTGTTATATAGCTAGATGTGATTTGCTAAAAAGGTATGTGGCCATGATGTAGTAGTCTTCCAGTTTAGGAATTTGTCACAAGGAATTGTCTCAAAATTAGACAGCATCAACTCTTTTTAAAATATTTTTCTTGCCATTTCTTCTTGTTAGCTTGAGGTACATTAGAAGGCATGCAATGCAATAACCAACAACTTCTGATTTTTGGAAATATAATCAATATTTGAAAATACATTCACTTTTCCTTTATCCAGGTTTCAGGCAGCTAAAAATTTATGGCGGGCAGCTAGAAATTTATTCTGCAAAAAGAAAAAAGTTATGGTTTAGTGGCTTATTCATTATCTAATTTCTGTATTTTTAACTAATTCATAACTTTAAAAAAGTCAGTGTTGCCTAACTTATGACACACTTTGCTGTTTTTTAATTACTTTCAAGATATACATTCCTGTTAAAATCAAATGTTTTGCTTGACTGTTTCAGATAAGTGTACTCATCTATGCTCAAGTTTTGTGTCTGTCTTTTGCTTTGGTCATTGTTCCTAGAAATCTGTAGTGAGTTTGTTTCCCTTTGTCTCTGTAGTTATCAGAGACTTTTACAGACGATTGCGGTACTTGAGGCTCAACGTACTCAAGCAGTTCAAGATCTTGAGAATTTAGGCAGACACCAGAGAGAAGCCCTGAAAGATCCCATTGGATTTGTGGAAAGTCTCCAAAAGAAGGTATTGCAGTGGAGATTCTTAAGCACTTCTGAGAGATGTTTGATAACTAATAATTTATTTCCTGCAGAAAAGTAAATGTAGACAGTAAATTTGGGGGAAAAGGTGGTCCTTATGGCCACTAGAGCTTTTTATTCTTTAAATGCACCACTTGTTCAAAGCTGTGTTTGCAAAGATTATGTAATTGGGCTTTGCTGGCTAAGGGCCTGTCAAGTATGAGGGGAAATAGTAGGTATGAAAAGCTCTAGTTTCTGTCCTTAATATCCCTTTCCTCCAACTCCCCGCTCAGGAACTCATTCTCCTGAAATGGTCTAGGTCCTGCTGTGTTCTCGTCTGAGCAAGAATTGGAAAAGTTCTCCATATCCTGCCTTCCTGCTATGCCTGATTGAGGGACAGAGCAAACCATTTCTCCAGAATGTATACCATACCTCCTTTACTCTGCATTGATACCATCTGGTAGTCACTATCTTGCTTAATACAGATAGCCAATACTTTGGTTTAAACACACACACACAGAAACTTCATCAACATATCACAGTCCCTGAATGCCTTCGCTCCTTTCATACATTCAGCAGGGGTAACACTGAAACAATATCATAGAAGATTAAAGTAGCTTTATGCCCTCTCACCCTTGTCTTCCTGCCCACCCATCCATTGTTCTCCTGACAATATCTTTCAGTATGAACTGGGACTTTTACATGAACATTGGCTCACATGGAGACCCATGTGCACCCTGCATCTCTGTTTGGGCTTGATTCCGACTGAAAGCTATCTGTGGGTAGGGGATGTGTCACATACCTACACTAATGTTCCAAACACTTTGTTTCAATATCACCTCTGTAAGTAATATTACATGTACTTGAGGGTTAATTTATTTGTGAGTTTTGCAGAGTTGGCAGCAACTGGATGTGTTTTCCAGTCATGGGAAAGTAGCACTGTCAGTTTCTGATCAGCCCATACATGTTTCTGGAACAAATAATATATGAACATATAATTAAAGGGAGTTAAAGTATGAGAGTTAGAGGGAAAAATGACCTCACTTACTCTGACCATTTCTTTAGCTGAGTAAGTTTTTGTTAGCTATGGTAATTTCTATTTCTTGGTCTCCTCCTAGTCTCTTATTGTAATACATTTGTGTGTAAATGCAAGTTTGAGGGAAAACAATACTTTTCAAATAGTTAACAAAAGGCAGCAAGAGGAGATGACACTGTGAAAAGGTGGCTATTACTCTTTTAAAATGACCTCCAATCACTGTGTTTTCCTGTTCATATATATATGCTCTGCTATGTATTACTGTTCCTTAAAATTGGAAGCAGTATAATAAGGTACAGTTTGAGACCTGATTTTGCCTTTAAAGAAGTTCAAGGTTATGTAATTTCATATACTGTCATTTGAGCTTGTGCCTTCTTTGTGTTAATTTTTCTTAATTTTAATTCTTCCAGGTTGATGTAGGGCTTCCCCATCCACAGAGAGTTGTCCAGCTGCCAGAAATATCCTGGGACCAATATACTACAAGCCTTGGAAATTTTGAAAGAGAATTCAAAAACAGAAAGCGTAATAGTAGGCGAGCCAAGCTTATTTTTGATAAGGGTGAGCAAATACATAAATTGATTATATGAGAAAATAGCCAGGTACATTGTAATAATTAATTTTCTGTTATTTTCAGTAGGTTTACCTGCAAGACCAAAAAGCCCCTTAGATCTCAGAAAGGATGGGGAGGCTACTTCATACTCTGTACTGCCTTTTAGTGACTGTCCAGAAGTGTCAACAAACAACCGGCCACAGGTTAGTGTTTCAAAAAAACAACATACCAAAAACCATAATTAAAATTTTATGTACTAGTGCTTTTACTTAGATTTAAATCCTGACTTTTGAGCAAATGAGCCTCATGGCAGCTTACAATAGATTTATGTACACACATGTGCAAAAATCCCAAACACAGCAGTCCTTAATCCTCTAACTTAGCCTTCCCTAACCTTGTGCCTTGCAGACATGTTTGGATTGCAACACCCAGAATTCCCAGTCAATGGCCCTGCTGGATGAGAATTCTGGGAATTGCTATCCAAATGCCTCTGAAGGCTACCAGCTGAGGGAAGACTGCTCTAGCTAGTGTATAGAAC